GTGCAGCTTTTTAGCTTACCAAAGTCTAAAACATTTTGATAATATGGTAATATCGTATACCCCAGTAAAATCCTGAGAACGTTCAACGGTATCAAAATTTGGATACCACCCAACTCTAACAGACAAGTGACACATTTGTGGTACCTTTTAAGTTTATTTTAAGGTTAAAATGTTTTTCATGTTTGATTATTTAATTGGAGCAATAATCAAATCACGTTGTATTTGGTTGCAGTATAGTTCAGTCATCCCCAAAACCATGCATACTGCTTTTCCTTTGGCTGGTGTCCAAACTTATCAATAGTCTCTATGTGTCCCGCTTTTTTGTATAATGTCTCACTACACAATGAACCTCATCTCATCTCCCTTTTGGCCTGCTGTCTATTGCACCTCAGCATCATTCCATCCTGAACAGCGCTGACTGCAAAACCATTGATTAAAACAGGGTTCATGCATTTTAATATTAACCCCTGTAACCCTGACATTAGTTAAACCTTATCCAGACATTTGCATTGGTTTCTGTCTGGCTCTCTGTAGACATCAGATCTTGTGCATTATTCAGGAGAGGCCACATGTGGACCCAGCGGTGTTGTGTGCACAGCATGGCAACATCCCCCCTAATACATACACACAGAAAGACCACGAGTGTAACTCCAACAACACAAACCGTCAGACCAGGGCTAGGATGCTCATGAGAAGCTAAATATCAGCAGCTAGCATGAATGGGACTGCGACACTTTTACTGAGAGCAAAGTGTTGTTCACAAGTCTGACTCATTGCTGTGTTTGAAGCTTGAGCGTGTCTCTAAATAGACTTTCTAGTGTCGGTATGTGCTTAGAGGAATCTGCACAGAATGAAAAGAGACCTTAAAGACAGGTTAGGATTAGTGTATGTATATGGGCCTGTCACGAACACATTTTGAAGCACGATATTTTGCTACAGAGATATACTGTGATAAATGATAATATGGAAAAGACTTTATGCCACGATACAAAGCAGGATAATCCCAGGAAACAACATTTTAAATAGACAGTTTCATTAAAATTCACTATTTGATAGATTTAGAAATTTTATTGATCCACAAGGGAAATATTTTGACACAGTAACTCATCACAATATAATAACAAAAAGCAAAGTTATAAATGATAAATAAATAATAGTTCTGCTAAGTCTGCTCATACTATTTTTACCATTACTACTTAGTTTACGTATTTCTACTAATGCTAGTACTGCTACAACTGTTAAAACTGATACTATGAATAAATATACTATCATTATCTACTACTTTGTTTAAAAGAACTCTTAAAGGTGCATTGTGTAACTTTTCTGGTGGAGGGCTCGTCAAATATTTTTTCTTTATGGAGATGTCTTTGCTTTGTCTAGAATGTTTCACAGTATGGCATTTAACATGTCTATCTTCATGGAGACCAAACCAGACTAAGTTACAGGTCAAATCTGTGGAGAGGTGACCCCAGTCACAATCATTCAAGTATTTTTGAGCTTTAAAACAATCTGTGATTGAATGAATGTGTGGTATACCTGTTTAATGTCATACTGTGGAACATTCTAGACACAGCAATGTCCATAGAAACAAGCAGGTGATGGACTCCCAACCAAAAAGTTATAGTGCGCATTAAAGTACAAAGACAGAAAAAGTACCAACCAACAAACTAAATAAAAACAGTCAATAAAAATATTCTAGTATACGACTTTTGTATAAATGTCTTGTTAAAAGTCTACAGTTAAAACTGTTTACAGGCAGCAGAAATAGAGAAATGGATGGGGACGTGAGCTGGAGGCCATTTATAAAGCCAAGCTCCACTGTGCAGACTCCCACCTCCTCAGTGTACAAGACCATTAGTTCCACACTTTGCGGAGCTCATTCAACATAAACAAGACGCTATGCACTGAGTGAGAAGGTAATAGATTTAAATATTAGTCATGGGAACTCACCGAGGTAATGGAGTGTGGAATTGCACAAAAATGTGTGTTTAAATCAGGTGGATGGATGAGTCACATGACACTGTTGGCTCTGACTTGCATGATAGAAAACTCAAGTCAATTTCTGGGCCCTTCAAACAAATGTACATTATAGTAATAATAATTTTGCCCTCTCCAGATGTTCAGTTGACCTCTGGCTTGGGTTGTGCAATTAATCAAGTTTAATTAAATTTGCCCAAGCAAAGATGGAGTTTAGACTGAGAGGTCCATAGCCAATGCTCTGTCAGTAGAAACATTGGTGCAGTTTTCAGACATTGCCAAACTTGGAGTAGTGTTGTCATAATACTAAAATTTTTGGAAATAGACTTGATACTCAATACAGATTCTGATACCATGATGACAGTAAAAAAAACACTCTTTATTTACACAACAGAATGGGATTTTCAACATTAATTATAGTACTTTCTTTCATGTTACCATGTGGCCTTATATTCATGTACTATCTCTGCCATCCAGGTAGGTTCCATGGTGGTCCATGGGTGTATGCTAGTCTTTATGGTCTTTATACTTGTTCTGATGCAGCTCAAAATCACATTAGTGTTTTTATTTTTATTTTTTTATTTTTAATATTACAAAATAAAATAAAAAAATAAAAAAATCTATAACAGTAAAACGATTGTGAATCATTTCTTGTCATATCGCCTAGCCCTACCTCTGCCATGTGCAAATATAATGATAAGGAGGCCGCATGATAAGAATGTGATAACCAAGTTAAATATTGTGATACAGTTTGCAGCTTATTTTTGTTGTACCATTTTGATTCCTCAATATCCGTGGGTTTCAGCTTACTCTTACATTAAACATTTTCTGAACTTTTTCCCATTCAAAAGATGTAATACTTTGTTTTACATTGTTAATCACGATGGCAATGGTTCTAATTTTGAAACTCGTGAATAAACTATTTAAACATCATAAATTATTCAAATTACAAATATATCAACAACCAAAAATTACAAAAAATGAACTGCATAGCATTATATTTGAGGAGAATGAGTAGTGTTCACACATTTGTTCTTTCTTGATTGAGATAGTGGTTTATTTTATTATCATTTTATTGTTATATTTTTATTTATTAATTTTCTATGTGCTTTCTTCACCTTGATGCATTATATGTTGAGAAGACACATTTTCAAAATAAGCAAATTAACTAAACTAGAGGAGAAGTCAAAAAGACAGCAGCAGCATCAGCATCAGGAGTCAAAGAGTAGCAAGCGATTCTGCCTCACAAATCGTTCTTGCCGGTCGTATCTGTATCCTCCACGTGTTTGTGCAGAGCGGGGAGGAGCACGTGGGGATCACCCGGCTGCCGTCTTTGGGCGGACCCCCCACACACCGAGCACTGCGCAGCTTGCCTCTGTCCTGGGATCTGCAGCGCTGAATTATTCATAGCACTAGAGCGGAGCACAGAAAGACCCCACCCCCAGAACAATCCGACTCTGAACCTGCTGTTTGCATCAGGCTCGTCATGCTTTCTCATTACGTCATGTTACTTTTTATATTAGTAATATTTAAATATTCTGATTAATATGCAAATCACAGTCTAAACCATCTAGCTGCTTAACATCACAGAGCCCTCTAGTATTTTTTGTTTAACAGCAGTATTTTAATCTTTCCTTTTGAGCAGTGCACCTGTCTTCTATGTAAATATAGCATTTAGTTTTGCATATCCTGTAAACTGAATTATTGGGTCCATGAGAACAAGAGGAGATGGCTACAATGATATGCATTTTACTTTTATCAATATAGTATGTTTTTAATGAGCATTTTACATCTTGCATCTTGTTGTCCCTTTATAATTATTTTCAGTATAAGCTTTGTTTGCACACCAAGTATGATTATTACACGCTCCAGAAACTCTTGTAATAGCTATATTGGTTGCAATTCAGTGTTAAGTTAAAGGAACATTCATAAAATGACTATGCACAGAGATGAAAAATGACAAAAGACTGTTCTGTCCATAGTTTTCATACAAAGACACCTATTAATGCAATGTTTTGTGTTATAACTGCTTGGGAGTGGTTCGGATTGTTCTGCTTTAATGTTCATTTTTCAAATAGCATGATTTCACCTCGATGGCTTAATGTCATGATGCCGTCTTTGTTGCCATTCTCAGTGAGGGTGGGGCTGCCAGCTTCACGTCTCGCCCGTGAGGAGTATACATGGTTACATAAGAGCGCTCTGCATGTGATCGGAGAAGCTGCAGTGTAAGATAAAGGAAGTCATGCTGGTTGTTTTAAGGGCATTGAGTTGAATGGAGTGTGCTAGAAAAGGGATGCCTCTGAGTAGGGGATGCTGGTTGAACTAAAGGCGTGGTAGGTGCAAGGTTATAGTGAGACGGATTGCAGATATGGGGGGATGGGGGAGTGGGGTGAGGCCAGTGAAAGGTGGATGAAGTGAAGGAGATGGAGAGAGAATCGATGTCGTTGGACTGCAGCGTGTGGTGGAGGGTGTGAGTGTGTGAGCTTCTCTCCATTCTGCCTCCCAACACAAACCTCGGAAATGAAGGCAACTTAAAGGAACCATATTACTCTGTTTTATGATTTATGTTATAATGTTGTTTCCTCGTCACAAACATACCTGGAGTTGTGTTTTGTTTCGTTCGCACATGTTTAACACAAAAACCCAGCATATTTAGGTTGAGTTCTTCTCTCAAATTGAAAACAACTCCACTGTCTTTTTCAACTCAATACGCCTGCACTAGAATCATCCGGATCATCCATTTCATTCCTGGAATTGCCAATCTCTACTGAACTAAAGTTAAAAGGACTTGATAACTTAAACTGCTTCATGCTGACGTCACAAGGTGGAACAGAGCATTTCGCGCTTTGGAAATTTAGACAGAATAAAAATCAAGGATTACTCAAACATGTGTGAATGAAACAAAACCTTTAAGGGGGCATGAACTTATACAAACTGCAAAATTCTTCTATTCTTCTGTTTTGATACACATTTTGGAAATATTTCCAATAATTATGTTTCTTTTTTTTTTTCTTCACTTTTAGGATCGTAAACTGTCCAAAATGGAGCGTCAGCGCTTCAAGGAGGAGGCAGAGATGTTAAAGGGTCTTCAACATCCCAACATCGTTCGCTTTTATGACTTCTGGGAGTCTCCTCTCAAAGGGAAGAAATGTATTGTGTTGGTGACAGAGCTCATGACATCAGGAACTCTCAAAACGTCAGTACTTGAATATTTGCGGTATTATATTCATCTTTTTTTCACACTAATGTTCTGTAATTTTCTTCTTAAGGTACCTCAAGCGTTTTAAAGTGATGAAACCCAAAGTTTTGCGCAGCTGGTGCCGTCAGATTTTGAAAGGCTTGCATTTCCTCCACACACGGACCCCTCCCATCATACACAGAGATCTGAAGTGTGACAATATCTTCATTACTGGTCCCACAGGCTCAGTGAAAATAGGTGATTTGGGACTGGCAACACTGAAAGCAGCCTCCTTTGCAAAAAGTGTTATAGGTAAGTAAGAACCAGTAAAATCATTATGAAATAGAATCAAGAGAAAACATTACTAACTGTTGTTTTATATTGCATTTAGTTTTGTATATCCAATAAACTGAATGAGGCATTCATGAGAACAAGAGGAGCTTTTAACACAATTTACAATAACTACAATAATATGTATTTTACTTTTATCAATATAGTATCTTTTTAATGTGGAGTTTTACATCTTACGTCTTGTTATCGCTAATAATTATTTTAGTAAAAGCTTTGTTTACATGCCAAATATGATTATCACACTCTCCAGAAACTTTTTTAATAGCTATATTCGTTGCAACTGAATGGCACGTTAAAGGAACAATCATAAAATGACTATGCATAGGGATGAGAAATTACAAAAGCTTGTTCTATCTATAGGTTTTATGGAAAATCTGTAATTGTTGTTGTAATTTTAGGCACACCAGAGTTCATGGCACCAGAAATGTATGAGGAGCACTATGATGAAGCAGTGGATGTCTATGCTTTTGGCATGTGTATGCTGGAGATGGCCACTTCAGAATACCCCTATGCAGAGTGCCAAAATGCTGCACAGATTTACCGCAAAGTCACCAGTGTAAGTCACTGTTCTTCTGAAGGTCCCTGTTACCAGTTAAACAAGTACTTTTCATTTCATCTTTAAGCAGAGATGCTGTAAAAATCATCCAGGAGTCCTTTGAGGGGAGAATTGATTTCCGCTCTTGGCCTGGTTGAAATCTGACCTGTGTCTTATGTGCTATTTAATAAAGACATGGTAATGGTCAGGAGCAATCTGTGAAACTGTCTCTAGATACTCACGTGTTTATTGGCATTCTTTGTCCATTACTTTACCCTTAAGGGACTGTAATAACAAACCGCAGGGAATCCCTTTATGTAATAGTTATACATTTCAGCATAGACAAATAAAACTAAATGCAGCCTACGTAGCACAAACAAGTCAACATTACAACAACTTTGGTACGTTTAAGGACCTAAACCTCCAAGATTGATCATTCTTATAATACATGTACAGTGACTTGTCTTATTTTTGGAAAAGGAGCAAAGAGACTGTAGATGAGGTGTTGCTGTGTCACTGTACAGTATATTATTTTCCTTTTGTTTCTAATAAAATTTTAATGGGGAAGGATTTAAATCTCATATCTGCACTACCTACTTGTTCTTTCTTCTGATTTCTTTTCACTTTTTCACAGGGAGTTAAGCCAGCCAGCTACAACAAGGTCATGGATCCAGAAATAAAGGAGATTATTGGGGAGTGCATCTGCCAAAAGAAGGAGGAGCGGTAAGTGACGGGCACCCCAGGATGCCTAATATTCACACTTTTAAACCAGCGTCCTTTACTGTTTGTGTTTGGGCTATGTCTCATCTCACTTTCTCTGCTTCACTGACCTGGCACAGACGGCTGACAACTCAGCAACATCACAGTTTTCCTTTGTATCTGCAGGGCACCTATCAGTTCAGTTACATAAGCACAAGGGGTCACTTTCAGGTCTATGTGGCTTTTTTATTGTTGAACGATTTCACAACTTCAACATAAACTCAAAGATGCAGAGGAAATAAAGCTTTAATGAGCCTATAATACTACTAGTGCATCCCAGTTGCATGTATTGATACTTTGCAGTGACATCGTGTTGGGGGTGTCCTACATGTATCTCTGTTTGCAGAATGTTAGTTACCACTGTGACGCTTATTAGCAAAAAATGTATTAAGACAACACATTTTTTAGGAGCCTGTGATCAATACAATCATTCATGGTCCTGTTTAGGTGTTTGATTTTGAACAAAATGGTGAAAGTGAAAGACTGTTGGCTAATGCTGGCCAGTTTGTGACAAATTTTAAGTGTGAGAGACTTGTTTAACAGCACAAATCATCTCACTTGTACTTCCAACTAAACCAGCTCTTTCTGGTCAGATTGTGTTAAAATAAACTCAGATTAAAGTCTAGTTTGAGTAATACAGCTTCAGACAGAGCATTGTCTACAGTTGGCATGGCACTCCCAGGTATATTATGTTCTATATGGATGACATCAGCTGCAGAGTACCAATATATGTTTTCAAAATGTCATGCTACACATATCCATAATCATGTTTATTGTTTTGAATTAACTTTTCATAAAATACAAAATGTTCTGTTTATCAGTTGTGCTTTGTTTGGCTTACCTCATCCTAAAATGACCCGGTGCTTCAGAGTTTCTGTAAACTGTTGAACTGAAAATGTTACATGTAAAATTTAAAGCTATTTTTTGTATGTTCCATTTGGCAGGTACACAATCAAAGAACTTCTGAACCATGCCTTTTTTGCTGAGGACACAGGTGTGAGGGTGGAGCTTGCAGAAGAGGATGATGGGAAAAAGGCGTCCATCGCTCTGAAGCTGTGGGTAGAGGACCACAAAAAACTGAAAGGGAAATACAAAGAAACTGGAGCCATTGAATTTTCATTTGACCTGGAGAAAGAGGTTCCTGAAGTTGTGGCACAAGAGATGGTGAGTGGATGATTAAATCTCCCTGTAAACAGATTTACAATTTTGGCCCATAGAAAATAAATAAGATCAATGCCTTTCACAATATTCAGGCAGTGATGGGAAGAATACTTGGAAAATGTATTTAGTCACAGAATACTGAATACCTAGCCTGATTGATCAGCCTGTTTCACTTCGCAGAACCCGTCTGACCTCGCAGCGTTAGTTTTTGTTTGCTCAATGGTAGGCGGGTACTTTTTGTCATTTAACCAATTGCTGCTATTTGTTTGTGACGTATGTAATGCGCCACTAACGGAGCTAACTGGTATATTAAGCTTTTCCCAAATCTCGTAGAAAGAAGGGCAATAACGTCTTTCCCCTTGATAAAATTCAACAAATATTCTCTTTGTTCCAGCTTTAAATTCTCAATCTCGGGAATCGTTGCCAACACAGAATGTATGGCTCTTCGCTGATTAGCTGGTGCCCGAACTCACACTTCTGGGGTTCTTGCAAATTGCATAGTGTATTCCGATTCCTGACCTAGTCGCTGGAGAGAAATAAAATTGAACGGAGGCACTAGTTGGTGCCAGAGTGGCTACCTGCATTGAAATGTATTTTGTAATGTATTCTGATACATGTTCCAATCAGAGTACAGTATTCAGAATACTTTGAATACTTTAACATTGATTAAAATGGTTTTATGTTTGTTTCACTTTTGGGTCTGCATTTCCTGTCACTAAATACAGACGGAAAAATCACACATGCACTCACCACGAGATTGGTGTTGCATATTTTTCTCACCAGTTATATGCAGTTTGAAGGCTAAATTGTGGGGTCCAGTACCACAACATATTCCTTTTAATTAAAAAAGTAACTGTATTTTGAATATCACCAAATGAAAAAGGAATTCAACCAGAATACAGATACTCAATATCAGTATTCTGAATATGTATTATCAGTACATGTATTTAGTCACTTCCCAACAGTGTTTATAGCAGAAGTATGTGAAGCGCTAAATGAACTTCTATTTAGAGATCTTCCCATTTTGCATGTTGTCTAGAGACTACACATATACAGTGCCAGTGTTTATTATTGGTGTACATTGTGCCTGTTTAAATAAAGAAAATAAATAAACATGCACAAAATTATACAGAAAATACTATTGCACAAGTGATAATCTAATTTGAGCTCTTGCTTGCTATAGTATTCCTGGTAAGTGCTCATTTGTTCCTATTTGCAGCTTTAACATTTTCCTGATAAATACGCAGCCATGCCAGCTGCTGACAAAAGCAATACTTCAACACTCATCCCCTTAAAATAGATTTCTTTCCCCTCTGCTAGCTCACATTCTCCTTTCTCCATCTGTCTTGCTTTCAACAACCTTTCTTTCTCAAATCACAACATAGTGCAATGGCCTTTCTTGTGCATCATCAGGTGGAGTCAGGCTTCTTCCATGAGAGTGATGTAAAGACCGTGGGAAAGTCCATCCGGGACCGGGTGGCTCTGATCAAGTGGAGGAGAGAGAGGACAGTGTCTGCTTTTCTTAGACAGGACAAGGCACTGGCCACAACCACACAGACCTCCTCCACCAGAGCTGAACCAGAGGAACCAGAGCCTGACCATCACAATCGCCTCTGCAACCTCCCAACCAGTACCACATCGGTCACATGTGAGGAATTCTGCCTTTTTATTTATTACTGATCAAAACAGAAGGGACATGTGTTAAGAGGCTTTGGTTGGATAAGATATAGGGCCACTGATTGTCTCTACTGCTTGGTTTAAAGAGCTAAGTGACACAATACACTATCAGTCAAAAGTTTGATCTCACCCTGTCATTCAGTGTTTTTTCTATGTTTACTACTTTCTACATTTGATAATCATGCATAAGACATTAAATATATGAAGTATGATGTATGGAATTAGGTCACAAAGAAAAATAAAGTTTACAAAATATTTTTTGACAAAGCAAACGAGAGTAATTTGAGGATTTGATTAGAAAATGTAATAAATTATTATATGATACAGAGTTATTTCACTTTTTCTCACACTTGAATTAAGATATAATTCCATATATCTTGCTAAAATGTGGAAAGTAGTAAGAAAAAAGAAACAAATCACTGAATGAGAGGGTGAGTCCAAGTTTTTGACTGATCGCGTATGTTTAAACAGCACCAGTAGAGACAAAGTGACATGTTCACTCACAGAAATATCTGCAAATATCAATAATCTGGCTTGACATCTGGAGAAATTTGACCACTGTAAAATGAAGATAACAAAAGGAAAAATACATATTAAATTATGTTTTATTCATGTGTGTTTTGGCAGCTGACAGCACATTGGACAGTGGTACAGGCTCCACTGTGTACTCAGACTCACACAGCAGTCAGCAGAGCATCCTTTACCAGTCACTTCTTGAACCCACTATGACAACACAGCAGGTCTGTATCAAAACGGAATAACTCAGAATTTACAAATGTTTAAATTTTTGACATTTACAAACATAAGATCACTGGAACAGTGTTTCTCTCTTATAATCAATACCTAAATATGTCAGGAGTACCAGTGTGTGAATTACAATTGAATTCTGATTTAGGTACAGTATTGCCTCAAATACCTTATTTAATTAGTATGTGTCCATGATTATCTTGTGCTGTGTTATGTGTATTATGTCTTTGAGATTTTCAATATTTTCTGTGTTGGTACTTCTTCTGAAAAGATTTGATATATATTTTTTGCCATGTTTTGTCTTGTTTTCCCTAGTTCTAGTAATTTGAATTGCACAAAAACATTATGCTATATGTTGTTTGGAAAATAAGTGAATGCTAACTTGCGACATAATTGTGACATTTGCACAAAGCTGCTAGATTTGCAGCTTTGTCAGCTATCTAATCTGAACAAACATTCTTATCTGTTTAGTGCCACACAAATGCCTATTTTATTCTTGCCTTATTTCATAAGTGTATTTACATAACTTGTGTTTTGCATTTTGGTGTCAGCATGGTCAGTCCCCAGTCCGACCTCGCTCCTGTGACAAAGGTGAAGTGTGGAGACCTACTCTGAGCCCTGAGATCCGGACGCGTTTGGGCGCTGCCGCCAGGAGGGGGAGTGCTCCTGTTATACCTGTTATAGACACTTACAGAGCCAATCATATCAGTCAACTTAACGGCCACATTCACGCTCAGAGGTCAGTTAGTCCCACCCCCGTCCTCGAGAGCCAATCAGAGTTGAGTCCTACAGAACTGGAAGTAGAAGATATATTTCCCTCTCCTACGACTCTGCATCCTTTATCCCCAGAGCGCCGCCTTAGTGACACGTGTGTGAGACCCTCATCTGAATCGACCAATCAGAATCTAGCTGTTCCAGCTCTAGGTGGACGCAGGCACTCTGACCTAAGCAGTCTTATGAGTCTAACATCTCATCACAATCATTTACTGTCCATGCACAGAGGACACACATGCCAGGCCTGCTTGTCTTTGCTTTACATGAACAATCGCCCTCCCCTGTCAAACTATAATGACCTTCAGTATCCGACCACTGGGTTAACTCATGGATTAGGACGCCATGGTTCAAGCCAGAAAATTTCAAATGAGTCTTCAGATTTCTCACTGCTACAGAAGAACCTTTTTAACATAATCAGTGGAAAATCAGCTGTTTGTCCCACTTCACACACCCAAACCATGCACCCTGCTGTAGCTCGCCGGACACCTCGTAGTGATGGAGATGGCACTTTGAAAACACAAGTATTGTCTTTGATTGGAGACCTGGAATCATCTCAAGATCCCTTGCCTGCAAACTGTTTAGAAGATCCAGAGACCAGGGCCAAGGGAGTGGTAGGTCTCGAGATGAATTTTTAGCATCCTAACAAAGTCTCGACTGCTTCCCTAACCACATGTCTACACCCTAACCTTGAAGTCCAATCTGCATGGAGACACTATGATTTATTACCTTTGACCTTTGCTCTCTGGGCCCTGCTGTCTCAGAGAATGATGGTGGACAGTGCTACAAGGTGTAACTGATTGTGTTTTTCCTGCTCATTAACTTTTCAACTGATACAAATCCTAACACCTTTACTCCCTGAATATGAATCCAGTTTTACCGCTTTCCCTATTGTTGGTCTTAAAACTTGGTTGTTGTCTCTTATTTTACAATGCAGAGATCTAATCCTATCTCTTGTGTTCTTTACTGCTTTTTGTCCCATGTCTTTTACCGTACGCTTGTTTTTCCAGCTCAATAATAGACACAGTATAACCTTATTTGTCAGCAGTGATTGCAGCAAGTTCTCTCTCTTGATTCAATTTTAAAGAGGCCTTGGCATTTATGCATTGATACTTTGCAGTGACTTCATGCTGGGGGTGTTCTGCATGCATCTCTATTGGTAGAATGTTACCATGGTGACACAATGCACACATTAGCAAAAATGTTTCAGTATAGGTTGAAAACTCAAGAGAAAATACTAAATGGATTTAAAGAACACATTTTCAGGAGCCTATTCTCAATATGAGCATTCATGGTCCTGTTTAGGTGTTTGATTTTAAAACAAAAAAAGTGAGAGACTTTGTTGGAACTACAACAGATGAGATGATTTGTGTTGTTAACCAAGTCAGCTATTTATGGTCAGATATACTGAAACAAAGCTTAGAATAAAGTCCAACTTGAGTAAATCTTCAGACAGAGCAGTGCCTACAGTTATCTTCACACCCCCCATCAACTGCAAAGTATCAATTATGTTTTCTCTTTGCAGATTATGAACACAGTGTATTTACTCTGTTTCTTTTGTTTCAGGCTAGCTCTGTGGACCACCAGAATCAGTCTATTCAGGGCATGTCAAGCACCTCTCTACAGTACCTCCAGTCGGGGCTCAACCACCCCACTGCTCCTCTCAGTTCTCTTACCAACGCTGCAGGCTACGCACCTCAAAATGTACAGCAAAGTCAAGCGTCAGCCACAACACAATATATTGCACAGGGCTACCAAACACAAAGTCAGCAACCACAGCATCCAGCTAATTCAAGCTTCTTTTCACTCCAACAAACCTACCCCAGTTGTGTGGCTTCAAATCAAATGCCATCACAAGCTGCACCAGAAATTTACAATCAACATTTGACAAATCAGCCGAAGCACCATGCAATTTTGCAACAAAATACTGTGCTTTCACAAACCCAGGCAGTTCTTACAAACCAGGACTATGCACATACCATAAATGGGCCACAACAACATGCAGCTCCAGTCCAGTTTACTCAAACATTTGTGGAGGAGGGTCAGAGCTTGCTCGCACATGCAGCTCAGGTGAGGATAATGTCAATATATTCTTCTCTTGACATTATTATTGAGGGGAAAAAAGGAATTTGGATCATTTAAAATATTTTAATTTTAAATCATGTTAAAAATGTTTTAAATCAGTTATGAACTTCCATAGCAATTATTACATATTATACTTTCTTCATAGAAAGAGAGATATTATTTCTTTATCGGGAATATTTCCCAATATGGCATTAAACCTTTCTTCATCTTCACGGCGACCAAACCAGATCAAGTTACAGGTCAGAATGGCAGAATGGCAACCCTGCTCACAGTCAGAATGCCTTTTTCTTCAGGTGTGTTTGAACAGTAAAACCACATGTTATTGAATAAATGTAAGGTAGACCTGTTTAAAGTCATATTGTGGAGCATTCCAGGCAGAACAATGACATATCCATAGAAACAAGCAGGTGACAGACCCCCAACCAAAAAGTTACATAGTGCACCTAAAATGAATGCAATATTTTCCACCTTTAGTTTCCATATTCTAGAAAGTATTGCATAATTGACTTCCCCCACACTTACTTTTAATCAGCTAATTTGAAAAATAATCTTGTTACCTCAACTGCACCCTTTTTGTCTCAAAATTTATGAAAACGGTTATAGATTTTGGCAGACTGTGGTGACCTTTTTGTCTAACATTTTAGCTTGCTGTTCCATATTGGACTGGATATGATTGATCTCAACACATTGTAATTTTAGATTTAAGGCAAGTTGTTCAAATATCAGGTTTGAAGGTGATGTCAGTGTGGAAGCTCTATCATTTTGAAATGAGTAGGCTATTGTTATCTGAATCAATAGTAGGAAATGTGGCTTTTCAAAATTAGCTAGCTTTTCTAGCTTACATCCTCTCCTCGTTTCCTCTCCAAATGGTTTACTGTATTGTGCAAGCTATTATTGTCTGGTATTGAACCTTACTATTATTATTTTTCTTGTATTTTTTTCCAGACTTCAGCTCACCATCTCCAGCCCCTGCAGATCTCAACTTCCCTCCAGTCTACACAAGCTTGCCAGGTATCACATTTTCATCATGCTGTTTATGTTGTCATAAAGAAAGAATACATTAGCAATGCATGTTTATATTGCATATAAACCTAAAATAAATAGCTTGTTTTTTGCTCAAAGAAAGCTTGAGCAAAAAATGTTACATAGTATTAAAGGGCCCATATGACAACATTTTCTGATCTATGTTATAATGTTTCCTCCTCAAAACATACCTGGAGTTGTTTTGTTTCATTCACACAAATCCTGGATATTTAGGTTGAGTTCTTCATTGAAACCTTTACTAGAATCAACTGGATAATTTCAGCCCTGTGATTGCCTCTGCTGAACTTGGAGATGTAGACAGACTAATCATAAAGGCTTACTCAAACATGTGTGAATGAAACAAAACACAACTCCAGGTCTATTTTTGAGTAGGTAACAAGCTCATAAGAGTAAAATTTGTGTAATATAGGTCCTTTCAACAATAACAGGGTTGTATGGGATCTACCATATTTCTACCAGTAGTATTTCAACCATGTGGAGATTCAAATACTACTACAAATACTAATAATGCAGTTTTTTTCTGGTTTTTATTATTAATCCTCTGCACCGTTTTCTTGATTTCCTCTTTCCTTTCCTCCCTCTTTGTCTTTTAAGTTCCCCTCTTCATACCCCACAGTGCAGGTGCTGGCCGACTGTGACTCCTCCCTCCCCACCTCTTCCAGCTGTGCTCCTCATCCTCCTACAATCTCTCCATCTCCTAGCCCCATGTTCCTCTGTCCCGGGCCAGTTCACCCATCAGCCACCCCCTCTGTCTCCCCCCTCTCTCCTCTGATGGTAGAGAACATGTTGTCACCGAACATACCCCTGTCTCTGTTACCTTCTCCCACACCTGTGCTGGGGAAGATCACGCCCACTTCTCCACTGCACCTTCCACAACCTGTATTTACATCGGCATTAAACGCTTTACACCCCATACATGCTCACAGTGCCTTGGTTCAGAATACACAACCTCCCCCAAATGGAAGCTCTCTGATACAGGTAAATGTGATGTGGCTGAGGACTGGTCATGTTGCCCCAAGCTGCATGTAGGGCTGGGCAATTAACTGAATTAATTTGATTCATTCGGGTTTTTAATAATCAAGATTTTGAAAAAATTGTTAAATCGTAAAATTCGAACTGTTTACAATGTCTTAAATAAATGGCATATAATAAGAATTAAAACCTACAATGCTTCCCCTGTTTGAAAGACAATCAGTCCCTGCTCTGACTTCAAAAATCATTTAAAATCGTAATTATCTAGTGTATGCATAAAAAGACCAGATTTAATTGTTTGGCCATATCACCCAGCCCTAGTTGTGTGTTTTGATTTCTGTGTGCTTTAAAAGTTTGGTAAATTGTGATTAAAGCTTTTATATTTTAGCTTTTACAGTAGTTCAGAAATAAATTTAGCTGATGCTGGATGCATTACTATACATATATATGCTAAGAATATTGTACACATTTTAAGCATATCAGTAGAATGGCATGATGGTGACAGTGAAACACATTATTGTTTATTATAATTTATTATAAAAATGCACTAATTTATTCATAGGAAAACATAACACAACTGAACAAAAGTTGTCAGTGAAATATGTTAATTGATATGTGCCTTTTTGTATTTATAACAATACTATTATTAATATTACATACGATATTAAATAAAGTATTGTTTTCTCATTTAGCAGGTTCCCCAGCAGACCCATGTCATTCTTCCTGGAGCGGTTCCCTCGCAGTTAGTCCAGTCCACCTCTTCACCTGTGCACAGCGGATCACTCCATAGCACCTCTGCAGACAACAGCTGTGTGTCCCAACTGCACTCACAGCCCCAGATCCAGCCCCAGATCCAGCCCCAGATCCAGCCCCAGATCCAGCCCCAGATCCAGCCCCAGATCCAGCCCCAGGTCCAGCCCAGATCCAGCCCCAGATCCAGCCCCAGGTCCAGCCCAGGTCCAGCCCCAGATCCAGCCCCAGGTCCAGCCCAGGTCCAGCCCCAGATCCAGCCCCAGATCCAGCCCCAGATCCAGACCCAGATCCAGCCCAGATCCAGCCCAGATCCAGCCCCAGATCCCCCAGATCCAGCCCCAGATCCAGCCCCCAGATCCAGCCCAGATCCAGCCCCAGATCCCCAGATCCAGACCCAGATCCAGCCCCAGATCCAGCCCCAGATCCAGCCCCAGATCCAGACCCAGGTTCAGACCCAGGTTCAGACCCAGGTCCCAGTGCAGTCTGAGACCCAAAAATCAACAGCGGAGAGTGCCAGTCTCACCCAGCACAAAGCACAAGTGGCTACTCATGGATCAGGAACAACTATGGAGGTAAAAGTTAAAGTAGAAAAGCAATGGTATGCAGAAAAATATTTTTATGTCTTATGAGTAGTGTTGTAATAGTATAAATTAATTCTTAATGTCTTAAAATCAAGCAGATTTTTGTCAATTTATATTTCTAGGATCAAGCCACCGAGAAACACACTGCTGGCCAGAGCTATGACAGGTGCCATGTTTTGTTTTGTTTAGCTTTGCATGCTTTCTGTTAGTTACAAGTTGCAGTAATAATAATAATATTGAATGAAAAAAAAAAAAAAAAAGTTAAAATGAATAGTAATTTTAATTTTAATTGTGATGTTTGCTCAAAGCTTTTAAATTTGCAGCTTTCTTTATTAGTATTTGTTCTGCCTCCAGTGTGAACTCTGATGCCACGTCGGGGAAAGAGATGAGCGATGGGTATGAGGGCACCCATGGGAGCAGAAGTGATGCAAAGGTCAGAAAACACCACCGCAAGACTTCACGGACCCGCTCCAGACAGGAGAGAATCAGCAAGCCCAAACTGAGCATGCTCAATGTAGGTACTCTGAATATGTAGAAATTCATTCATCAGCGTTTTTTTTTTTTTTCCAATTGATTCTGCATGCTCCCCTTACAGGTGTGTAATACAGGGGACAAGATGGTGGAGTGTCAACTGGAGACTCATAATCACAAGATGGTCACGTTTAAATTTGACCTGGATGGAGACGCACCAGAAGAAATTGCAATTTACATGGTATGTGCTAAGCATACAGTGGCATAATCAGTTACACATTTTTTAGCTGTGTTTTAAACACATTCGGACTGTGAACAGGGTCACCTTTCCACAGATTTCACCTGTAACTTCGTCTGACCTGGTCTTTGTGAAGATAGAAAGATTTAATACCATACTGTTAAACATTCCAGACAAAGCAATAACATCTCATGAAGAAAAGCATTTGACAAACCTGTAAAAAAATTACACAATGCACCTTTAATTTTATTTTTAAGGTGGAAAACGATTTTATTCTGCCGCTGGAGAAGGAGATGTTTATCGAGCAGCTGAAGGACATTGTGGAGAAGGCTGAGGACATGTTGAGCGAGGACACGGAGGGCGAGAAGGATCCTGATCTGGGAGGGAGCCCGAAACAGAACAATACAGATGGCACCGTAGAGACAGAGGTGAGAAATGAACTGTCACCAAGTAATCAATCCACTGGCCCCTGTGCAGTATATGCATCATTGTGATTGCACACTCATACCGGTCAGATAAGTGATGGTCTGTGTTAGATACCTCCTCTTTTAAGCAAGGGCTGCGCAATATTGGAATAGATTGATGTGAAGTACAGCAATACTCTTTGTATTGTGATATTTTAATATAGCTTTTGAAACAATATATGGACAAAACCAAGGCTTGGCAAGGAGGAGAATAAAACAAACCAGCCTTTTTTAACATTTCCATAAAACAGTATTGTGATCTATCGATATCTTTGGTTTTAGCAACTTACTTTTATGATTTGTACTATTACCCAAGAACAGTATATTTACATACTCTACTTTTGCTATTTTCAGTATTATGAAGTAATTCCATTTCTATAAAAAACATTTACATTTTCATACTGTGGTCCAAAGGAAGAAAAATTGCCTGATGAAGGCTTTTTTTGCCGAAATGTTATTTAAAAATAAAAAAGTTTTGGACATTGGAGTGTTCTATGCATTTTTTTCACTTTTATAAAAAATCTTTTACACCATGAGGCTTTGTTTATTTACTTATTTATTTTTTAGGGTTCCCATGTTGTATTTCCAAGCAGCCCTCAACTCGTATATCAGCAAAATGGTAAACGTTTTAATTGTTTAATACACCATAATTCCCAACTGTGTTATATTAAAAGATTAACCATTTGAATTTGTCTTTTTGCCCTTGAAAGTCCTGCACACAGGCAAGCGCTGGTTCATCATCTGCCCAGTGGCTGAAATGCCCAACCCCAACACAGAGAAAACATCTGTGACCTCTACAGATCACGGTAGGCTGCAACATCTATCATTCTGTGCCACTGCACTTTTTGCTTTATTATGTAATTTACAGCCTTAATTATAAAGAGACCACTGCAATCAGATATTTTTACATGCAGGCCTTTTTAATGTGTTTTTCCTTTCTTATTTTCTTTTCTATCTCTTTATGGAACCTTGCTCTATAGCCTGACCAGATTTCAAACAATGCTAAACACACCCAGGTTGGGATTATTGGTATAAATACAATTGTGAAAAAAGAGTGTTACATTGTCCATTCTCCCCTCACTTGTGGATTTTGTTGCTACATTTTTTAAATATCTTATGGTCATTTTCAAGCGGAATTTTCTGTATTTTAGCTAAAGAAGTGACAATGTATCACCTCTTTACTGTGGGTCAGTGTCAGATTGGTCAAAAATAGGGACACCTGGGACAGTTCTTGTATAAAATTGTGACAAATCAGTGAATTTGGATAAATCTGCTGGGTCTGGGCACCCTGTTCTTGTATTGAAATGTGGTTTAGTTTGTACTAGTTCCATAAATATTAAGAAAACCTTTTAAACAAAATTTATGTTTAATGATTTGATCTACAGCCTTAAAAACTGAAGCATATACTGTATAAACTTCATTGCTGTGATTATGCCTGCATTCATGTGTGTGCTGGTCCATTGTTTTGTGGATTGTTTTGTGGATTGTTACATAAGAATGATTCTGCAGAAATGAAGAGCAGAAATTACACTTGTGCTGACGACGCCTTATGGTGAAATCAGTCAATGATATAACACTGTAGCAGTCGGGAGGGCCAGGCTTTTTCCATACTGCAAAAATGCACACTTTGCTTTGTTCATTTATTTATTTCTTTTCTTCTGCAGAATCTGAAAACTCATCTGTCAAGCCCACTTCCACGAGTGCTGCAGTGTCTACTCCTGCTGCATCTTTATCCAGTTCAACCTCCTCCACGCTGCCCCCTACAGACAAAACAACTTCAGTGCAACCACAGGACAAGACCCAGATACAGCAGCCGCAGTCTAGTGTGACTAAACATCCCCTTCCTCCCTCTAACCTCAACCATTCTTTTTCTGTTGAGGATCCTTGTATCTCCATGGTAACAGACATGCCGTGCTGTGCCATAGTGCCGCCTGTCTCCTTGGAGGTGAATGGCAGCGATAAAATGGCTCTTACCAATACGTTACCATCTCAGAAGAATCAAAATAAAATTAGTCCTACAGGAGAAATTACTTCCCAACAGTCTGTAGTATTGCAACAACCTTTCTCTTCATCAATGCAACCTGCATCGCTTTCATCTCAACCTGAAAGTCCTGCGCATCAAGCACCCCAAACCTCCTCGGGTCAACAGCAGCCTGTGAGTGGCCACCAGGGGGAGTCAGACAGCGAGGGGCCAAGGAGAGTGGAGTTTGTGGATCGAACAATAAAGACTTTAGATGAGAAGCTAAGGACTCTTCTCTATCAGGAGCACGCACCATCTCAGTCCTGTAACAACACCTCAGATCAGCAGGCCTCCAGTGCAGAAGACATCAGTTCCACACCAGGTTCAGATGGACAGAGCACAGAGGGGGGACATGCTAAGAAGAAGGGGGAGCCAATGGTAAATATGGACCAGCTGTTAATACTAGTATCATTTCTACTGCATAACTACTACTACAACTAAATTCAAGATCTCTCTCTTAAACTTGAAAAAGAACTAGTTTTGTTGATATGCTGTTACATTGTTTGTTACTGTATTGATTATACTGTATATATTTAATTATTAGTGGTACACAGATCTATCTTTTTCTGTTCCGACACCGATGCTGCTGCTTTGGCTTTAAGTATCTACTGAGAGCTGATATCAATTAATATTAGGGCAGAGACTAACATAAATATGGTTAAAAATATCCCCTTGTGTTTTGTAACTGTAATTTATCATTTAAAATAACTACAGAACAACAAAAAATATTGATAATATGAAGTGTTTGGGACAACATTGTTCAGTAAATTGTCTCATCACACATATATATTATATTATATTATTATTATTATTATTATTATTATTATGCCATTATTATACCATTTAATGATGATTGTCCTCTTTTTAATTTTTCAGCCTCAGATACCAGAGCATGCAGATGGTGTGAGTGTACTAGACTCTGCAGTGAAAGGTAAGTGTCTCATATTTTTATCTCTATATTAAACAATAGCTTTTATTTTAAAAAGATATTTGTTTTAGATGCCAACAAGCACCTGAACAGAAAAGACGCTCCCTCCTCAAAAAGCCGTTTCCAGGTAAATAAAGTAAACATTACAGTGACATTACGGTGATGGAATTGTTTATTAGTTATTCCACAACAGTTTTTTTGTTTTTTTTTTGTTTTGCGTCTTCCTAGGTCATTCCCACTCCTCCAGATGCAATTTGCAATATGGAGAGATGCAAGACAAGTCAAAGTATCTGTAGCTCTGTGGCTCCCTCTGGTGGTACAACTGGTTCTTACAGTCACACCAAGAGCTTAGCCAAGTCCAATAAGACCCCCAGTGACAACAATTGTGAAACATCTAAACCTTACAACAACAGATACTCTGCTCCACCAAACATGTACCAAGCCACTCCTGTTTCCAGCCCCAATAGCACGCCACAGCACATCCCAAGAGCCAAAACTATTGATTCTACCACACATCACCTGCGTCATCACTCCTCACACCTATATTCAGATTCAGCAGATGAAGACAGCGGTAGCACGGCCCCTGCCGTGTCCCACTCTATTCCCCCCACACATGCCCTGTCTGAACATAGTGGAAGTGACCTGATGAAAAGGGCAGTCGCGTTTTTGAGGCGCAGTGGACGGAGCAAAAGCGAGCACAGCACAGATTCGCCAAATCGTCACTGTGCAGCAATGAACGGCCACACCCCCTCGCCATCTCCAGGACACACCCAGTCATCTTACATCAGCAGTGACAATGACTCAGAGTTTGAAGATGCAGATATGAAGAGGGAACTGCAGAAACTGAGAGAAAAGTAAATTCTGTTGGGGTTTTTTAGTTTGTTTTTTTAAAGGTGCATTGTGTACTTTTCTGGTAGAGGGTCCACCAAATGCTTTTCTCCATGGAAATGTTATTGCTTTGTTTGGAATGTTTGTCAGTATGGTATTAAATATTTCTAATGTCATGGAGACCAAACCAGATGAAATCACAGGCAACCCGGCTCACAGTCAGAATGCCTGTATTTCTAAGTATTTTTGAGCTATAAAACCATTGATTAAATTAAATAAATGTAAGGTTATGTTTAATGTCATACTGCCAAACATATCTATAAAATCTGGTGATGGACCCTCCACCAGAAAAGTTACACAATGCACCTTTATGCACAATAAATAATACATGTTAATTCAGTTAAGAATGGTTGTAAAATGTAATCCCAAAACTTCTTTAACTTCTGCTTAGACACATGAAGGAGATATCAGAGCTGCAAGCCTTCCAGAGGAGCGAGATTGAGCGTTTGTACAAAGAGCTGGGGAAAACACTGCCCCCTAGTGTTGGCCTTCTTCATGCTGCTCCTCCAAGTGGCCGGAGACGCAGGACCAGCAAACACAAACTGAAGGCTGGGAAATTGATGAACCCAATGGTGCAACAGCTCAGAAACAATGTTAATGCTTCTACTAGCGACAGAAAAGGTTTGTAGAGACAGATACTCAGGCTGTAAACTATGATTTCTGGCTATTTAATTCTACAACATCTTATCCTAAAGGTGAAAATGCGATCAGTTCATCCGACTCTCCAGCTAAGAGCTCCCTGTTGTCTGAGGGTTCTACAGTTTCCAGTGTGAGCTCTGGATCCAGTGCTCAGCCTAGACCTGGTCCAGTCCAAGTCCAGACTCAACAGCCATGTTCCCTGAAGGGCTCTCTCTCCTCAGACAACATCTATACTGGACACAGTGACAGGATGTTGACACAAGCAGCACAAGGTACACAAGATACAAGTTTTATTGAGGCTAGTTAAGATGTACTTGGTGGTACCATATAGTCTTATATAATCACATCACATTTCACATTTTAATACTGCATTGCCAGTCAAAGTTAATCTATCACTTTTAGATAACACTGTCAGTTATAAGTTGTACTTTATTATGTTATTCACATTATCAAAATTCTGTTATTATCTTGGGGCAAAGAATTTTGGAGGGGAAGCACCTGTTTTAAAAGGGAAAAAACACAACTGCTCCATATATTTTCTCACATAATGCCATCTCGTACTTGCTCTCTTGGCATTTGAATTGTGTTATAAAATGAAAGTTACAAACGTTACTATGGTTAGATGGTGTTCGAGATGAAGCAGAACTCACATTGGACCATTCTTTAATTACTGTCCTGGCACCTTTTCACAATATCATGCATTTTTTATTAGAACACAACAGACTTCGCTAAGAAATGAAGAGTCACACCTGTAATAAACAATTCTATAAACATAAACACTGTTATTACAGATTTATTGTGAAATAATTGCCATCTGCTTATATTCTCCTGGTATTTTTGGCTTTGGCTTTACTAGTGCGGGTTTCTCATACCATTTTCTGTGCACTTTCACAAGTGTCTCTCTTGTTTCTTCTCTTCTTCCTTTTATATTCATCTTCACAGGCTGGAGCGTTTACCACCAAACGACAGAGAGAGTCACCTATAAATCTAGTAGCAAACCACGCACTAGATTCCTCAGTGGACCTGTGTCTCTGTCCATCTGTTTGTATTTGTTTTTTTCTATTTCCTCACTGTCATTTCCATCTCTTAATTTAACACAGTCATTTCCATTTGGCCAGTTGCAAACCTTTCACCAAGTAAATGCTACTGGACTGACGCTGTCAAGAGCATTTTGCATCAGCTACAGCTGTAAAGTATTTGGAAAAGAGACTGACAATTTGGACAGTTTATGCCATCTAGTTTTATTTATTCCTGACACTCCTTAGTTATTATATGCCCTAACTCTAGAAACGAATAACAATTTGTATGATAGTAGAAACCACAGCCCCTCTTGTGTTAGTCTTTTTTGTTTTGGGGAGAGCTCTCTGTGCCTCATGTTTGGATGGAGAAGACTGCATGATCCAGGCAGGGAACTGAAGGACACTTGCTCACCATTTGAAGGGCTGTATCATTAATATTAATGTAACCTATCCCCTTCCTCTTGAGTTATCTGCATGTTTTGGATTGTAGCTTTCATTTTTTAGTTTTCTGTGCCTATTGTGAGTTTTTTTTTTTTTTCATAATTTTGTAGGATTGTGGCATTTTTTTATTTAAATGGCAATAAATATTTTGTATGAGATAAAAACAGAAGATATTAATTACAGGCACCCAGGTCCTGGAGTTAAAGAAAATAAAAGATAATTCCAAAGGGAACACCACAACATGCAAAACTAGTAACTGTTCCTTACAAGTTTAGCTTGTCTGAACATACAGAAGACCACATAGACACTCTGTCTCTCTCACACAGGCATGACACCCTTTTCTCACCTTTTCTCTCCCTAAATGTTTTTATAGATCAATGTGAAGATACTTGTCCACTGACTTCTGCTGTTCAGTGTGTTTTTGCCTAACTCTCTGTCCTGTGCTGTTTACCTTTTTAGGGTCTACTCTGAAACGACTTTGTCTAGGCAAAGAGCGCAGTAGTAGTAACTATCTTATTTCTTCTTTACTCTGTGTCTAACTCTTTTCTCATATGTTATGTCATTTATACTGTGTTTATTCTGGGTAATTACATTATTTTACACATTTTTGTTGCATGGCAGTTTTGCCACATTGCTTGCATTTTGTTTTATTTGTATTTAATAACAATTAAATTCTTAATCTATTGGCTGCATCTCTCTCATAATAACTCGGCAAATAGATTCAGCAACCAAGAACAGCCAATAGATTAAATTGTCAAAAAACAGTTTTTAATTTTTGTAACTGCCCCTCAGGGTCTTCCCTCAACACTGCTGCAGCCCAAATGATGTCTCATCAGACTCCGCCCCCTCTGACCCCGCCCTCTCTGACCACACCTGCGCCAACTCCTCAGCTCCTCCCACGACTCGCTCAGGTCCAAACCAACAACAGCAACAACAAGAAAGGCACTTTCACTGAAGACCTTCACAAATTGGTGGATGACTGGACAAAAGAAACTTTGTCTGCTTCTCATAAACCCCGCCCCACACTTAATCAAATGAAACAGGAACGACGACAACAAGAACTACAAGGCCCACCCATTAGACCTGCTGCACATGAGGTATTTAGGACGGCCCACTTAAAATGATGACTTTGGATCACTCCTAGCTTCAGTCTTTGACATTCAATATGAAGCTAGATTATTTTGTGCCATTTGTAAACTTTTTTCCTTTCCAGATAAAATGCCATGCCAATGTTGGTTGCAGCCAGTTCCATCTGCCTCTTTCCTGCCCCCTGTCTGCTGCTTTAGGACCTGCTTTTCCCAATGACCATGGTCCAAACTCCTCCGCCATTCTTCCTCCTGCATATCGCTTGCCCTTAGGATTTTACAGCAACGGGGCATCTTTTTCTCTGACCCCGCAGTGGCCCGGGGTGCCTGCTCCTCTGGTGGGCTCCGGGGGTCCTGCTGTAGGCCTGCTTGGTGCTGCAAGAATAATGCCATTCGTTGCCATGGCAAACCCGGGGATGCAAGCCTACCCTGTGATCATGCACACAGCTGAGAATGGTGCATGTCCGAAAACCACTAGGACTACACAATCAACCGTTTAAACAAGGACATTGGCTCTACGCTTCAGGGGAGTCATGTGTATAAGATACAAGTGTTAAGATATTCTTGATACAACATCTCTATGTAGTTGTGTGTGAGTGGTATGTGTGTAAAACTGTAAACCATAAGTGTTAACAATGTATGCCTGAATACCTAATGGTTTCCACGCTTTGGTCACTGTCTCAATTCTGCCAAATGATCATGAAACAATTTTTTATGTCCACACACTACATTTGTTTTGGGCAAAGTTGACAGTATTTATGATTTCTAGTAATGTTGTGCCTTGGACATAGTTTTTTTGTGTGTGTTTCCAATCATGTCTGTAAACAAGTTATTTATCACTACCTTGAGTGTCTCATTTTTAGTGCATTCACTTTTTCAGTTTGTTTTCATAAATGCCCTTGTAGTAATGCACTTTTTCAACACATGCGCTTATTTGAATAAAAGTGTTTTATTTTTATTTACTTTCACCCTGTGTGACCGATGACATGCCATAATGATGAGATGTACAGTTGCCTTGTAAAAACCTTTGAAATATGACTAAATTGCAAAGATATTTTATGACGCCAGCAGCCAAAACCACTTCTTCAGGTTGAATGGTTCAGTGGGACTCAGCTTCTTTGGATTGGTCCTGTTGCAGACTTCTGCTGAGAGGGAAGCCGGAGTCCAGAGCCAAGTATACTGTACATAGTTATTTTATACATGTCTCTGGTAGAGCTTTTATCAGAATGTAGCTATTATTACAGTTTGAGGAAGTTTGAAAGTTTGAGGCTTAAAAGTGCAATTTCTTCTCTCCACAAAGCTTTGATAGTGGCCTTGCCACAAGCCTTATCTCTGGTGTATGTAACAGAAGCCACCTGCAAAGTAGAACATGATCAATCATATGTTGAGTGTAACAAGCAAATGGTCACTCTTCAAAACAAATCTAATTAAGAATAAAAACTGGTAAATAACCTTCCTCTCATCTCTGCTGCACTACAGCATACACTGTAGATTTCTTGTGCAATCAATTAGTTTATGAAAGTATTTTTAAATTGTTTTATGTTGAAATCTTAGTTTTCTGTGTGTTTCTTATGCTGCTATTTTGAGGAAATTCCACTGTACAGTTTCCACAAATTGTATGGTACTTAAATAAAGAACCCTCTTAAATGAATGAGTTTCTTTTTTACTTTGTAGATGTGTGCCACTCAGGAAGATTATAAAATTATTGTTACAAGCATGGATTGACCACAACTTGCTATAATCTATAGAGAATGTGTAGGCAAGATAAGCAAAAATAAACATCAGTAATGTAACAGAATACTGAGCTGTGTGCTGTCAAATGTAAGCATTGCAAAATCTGAAATGTTTAGTATGGTCAGTAAAACAATAGACTAATAATAATAAACTAATACTTTACAAGCAATATGAGAAAAAGCCAAAATAAAATAAAATAAATAAAAAATGGCTGAGGAAAGAGCAGTAACATATTCTGCTGCCAACATGGAGAGGAGGGTCTGCTATTTCATAGTATTGGCTATGGATGTGGCCAGAGGATAATGGCTTCAGTGCAGATCTGCCATTGTCCACTAGGGGATCTCTGCCAATGAAGGCTTGACTGTTTGAAGCTAAGACATAAGACATGAGCGTGTATTACAAACTGAAAATTGCGAACAAAATGTTTGTTTCTTGACATAAGCTACTGCAACACTGCATAATGATACGTTAAAGGGCCTGGCTAGGGCAGAACAGACAGAAGAAGAAGAGCAGCGTCTGCAACGGGCGCAATTGAAGTATGCGTCAGTTCAGGCTACAACACTGGCGTACGTGTTGGCAGATACGCAAGACTAACCCGGCGTTGATTAAACATAGAAAATGAAGAATTTATAAACTACGTTTATATGTTAGCGTATTTGTAAAAGATTCGATACTGATGTAACCGATTGCTAACAACATTTCATTTTCATTGGGAATTAATAAAAAATGTTATCGAATGTGCGAAGCTCCAGAAGCGACATGATGCTACGGACGCCAGAGCAATGGACGCCCCTTTTGTTCAGAGGAGTTCCTGAATTCCTCCCACTACAATGGAATAATTGGGTTATTATTTTTGTTTGATATATTTTTCAGTAGATGTACGCCTACTGTAACACGTTCCGTGATGATCTGATGGATTAAAAAGGACCAGATTATCTTTCATGTTTTGCGTCAGCTTTCCGGGGGCACATTCTTGAAGAACGTGGAGTAGTAAGTGTTTATAATGCTATACTAAATCTACAACACGCAGGGACTCGTCTTTAATCAACTAAGGCTATCTTTGTAGATAGAAACTAGCATCTTTTTGCCTGCATATAGACCTTGTCTCTTTATTTCGAAACACTGGGAAACGCTACCGTGCATTTAGCTTTTATTGGCTCTTTGTTCTTTTACAAATAAAGTAATACATTGTTACTTTTACCATCACTTTTAGTGTTGTTGTCGATAGCATTTTTAATAATTAAAAAGCGTTTTTGTTTGATTTCCTCCTGTTAGCAGACGTAGTTCCTACTGACCACTGGCTGAATGCATTAATTGTGGAGGGAAAATGTGATGTGTAGCCTACTTCTTGTTTGTTACTACACAGCTTCTTAAGACCCGCTTCGTGCTCGACTTTACTGTTCAATCTTATTCATTAATGATTTATGCATAGATTTATCAATTCAAGTAACCTACATATGTTTTAAAATATACCTGTATCAAACTCTAAAGCTGTTTACGGAAGTTTTTCATTTAAGAAGCCACAAATGTGTCTGTAGTGCCATCTGGGATAACCGAACTGTCTGTTATTTACTCTTAACTACAAGAACTTCCTGGTCACATGCAAGCCCCCCAAACAACAGGTGCATGCAGCACATAACATTACTTTCAATACTTCAGTATTTTAGCGTTTTGTAAGGCAATTACGCCAATTAATCCTGTCCAAATATTCAGTGCCTAATTATACATTTCATATTTTTCAGATGGAAGATTAGGTGTATCTGTCCCAGCCGTGGCTGTTGGCACAATGGGACTGGACTTTGATGTTAAGACTTACTGTCATAATCTAAGGGCATCAAAGCCTCCATATGAATGTCCGGTGGAGTCTTGCAGAAAGGTTTACAAGAGCTTCAGTGGCATCGAGTACCACCTTTACCATTATGATCATGATAACCCTACTCCTACCCCAACCATCCCTCAGAAGAAGAGGAAAGGCCGGCCTCCCCGTATGCCTCTGCTTGGTTCAGGAGATCCAGATGAAAGTGGAGGTAATGGAGGAGGTCCTGGGCCTGGGGGAAACAGCCCTGGAAGTCCCAGTAGATCTGAGCCTTCTCACTCCCCAAGCAGAGACACTATGACCTATGCTCAAGCTCAGCGCATGGTGGAATTAGAAATTCAGGGTCGTGTTCATCGCATCAGCATCTTTGATAATATTGATGTTGTCTCAGAGGACGATAGTGATGCTGAGGATGCTCCGCCATCTGGGGCTGGGGGAAGCAGTGGAGGAGTCTGTAATGGCAGTGATGGTGGTGCTGGAGGGAGCGAGATAGGAAGTAGTAGCAAGGAACGCAGTGACATTCAGTCTTCAAATGGTGGCAAGGCAACTCCAAAATCTGGTAAACATAAAAGTAAAGAAAAGAAACGTGACTCTTCATCCCACCATCACAGTGCTCAGTCTGGGCCTGCAGTCAAGCTCCCTGAAGCTGTTTTTCGAGAACTGGACCAAGACAGACCTGATGCCCCTCCGCGACCATGTTCATACTACAGGTATACAAGCATCAGAATTAAATTTATCTCTGTTTCATTAAATGCTAAATTGTGTTCATTGCACCTAATTTTAGGTACATTGAAAAGTCAGTGGAGGAGCTGGATGAGGAAGTTGAGTATGACATTGATGAAGAGGATTACATTTGGCTCGACATCATGAATGACAAACGCAGACGAGATGGTGTGACTCCAATCCCTCAGGAAGTCTTTGAGTATCTCATGGATCGGTTGGAGAAAGAATCTTACTTTGAAAGCCACAACAAAGTAATTAAAAAAAACATTTTTTGGTATACTTATTGCATATAGCAGTATTTCATCTTATCTCTTCTTTCAAGGCGGACCCCAGTACCTTGATTGATGAGGATGCTGTCTGCTGCATCTGTAATGATGGAGAGTGCCAGAACAGCAATGTAATCCTGTTCTGTGACATGTGTAACTTGGCTGTACACCAGGAGTGCTATGGTGTCCCCTACATTCCCGAAGGACAGTGGTTGTGTCGACGCTGCCTGCAGTCTCCAAGCAGAGCTGTGGACTGTGCACTGTGTCCTAATAAAGGAGGAGCCTTTAAACAAACTGATGATGCACGCTGGGCACATGTAGTGTGTGCCCTCTGGATCCCTGAGGTAAAACAAATATTCAATTGTTGCATGTATAGTGAGGGAGCAAAGAAATGCATCATTGAAGTTGGGAAACAATGATGAACATCAAGATGCAATGCATAATATATCACGATCGTATCACAGTTCTAGTTTGATAAGATTCAGTTATTAAATCGCGAAGAACACAGTTATTTAGGTTACAGAATGTAAAAAAAAAATAATAATAATAATAATTAAAAAAAATTTCTAACAAGCACCCCTATTGATGTGGTTAACCTATAGGAGATGCTGCAAATGTGCTGGTTGGCTGGTGTGATCTGATCCAGTAGATAAACAGCTTGTTCAACAAGATATAGCTGGTGTCAGTTTGTTGTGTGAAGCTGGTGATAAGACACCAGTATTATACTGTGTAGTTGTGGTCCTCTTAAATAGTCTGCACAACACATTTAATAAAGTGCCTTGTATTTCAGGTCTGCTTTGCAAACACTGTCTTTTTGGAGCCAATAGACAGCATTGAGCACATCCCTCCTGCACGATGGAAACTCACCTGCTATATTTGTAAGCAGCGTGGCTCTGGAGCATGTATCCAGTGCCACAAAGCAAACTGTTACACAGCTTTCCACGTCACCTGTGCCCAGCAGGCGGGTCTTTACATGAAAATGGAACCTGTCAGAGAAACTGGCGCTAATGGAACCTCTTTCAGTGTCCGTAAAACTGCCTACTGTGACATTCACACTCCTCCTGGATCAGCACGACCTTTGGGGGGAACGGGTGGTGGCAGCATGGGGTCCTCTCACAGTGAAGGAGAGCTGGAGGAGGACGATGAGCCCAGCATTGGCCCAGATGAGGACTCTAAAGGCTGGAGCTCTGAGAGAGCAAAGAGGGCAAAAGCTAAATCACGGATCAAGATGAAAAGGGCAAGGAAGATCTTAGCTGAGAGAAGAGCAGCTGCACCAGTGGTTTCTGTGCCCTGTATACCACCACACAGGTTGGTACACAGATATAATTATTCTGGTAGTATTGGGGGTATTTTCACAACTATGGTTTAACACCCTGTTATTATTTTTGAAAATATGATTTTTTTTTTTTACATGGGGAAAATGATAGGACACATCTCAAAAGTAATATTAGCTTTACTTGCAATACATTCTTCATTTGTGGCTTTGATAGTATATTAACAATTTGAGTCTAATGTAGAATTATATCATACCATTAGTATAGTGTGCATTGTTGGTATAGTTTTTGCTGTTATTAAAGGATAATATGTAATGTACACTATATATGTCTGAAATGTATGATTTTATTTTTAGACTCAGCAAAATTACAAGTAACTTGACGGTACCACGGAAAAGTCAGTTCATGCAGCGGTTACACAGTTATTGGACACTGAAGAGGCAAAGTCGTAATGGCGTTCCTCTGCTTCGGAGACTTCAAACACACCTGCAATCACAGCGCCATGTTGAGCCAGTACCACCACAGCCATCATCACAGCTCCCCCCAGTAAATAAAGTTAATATATAGCATAAGCAAACCAGTCCGCTGTGTTACTCACTAGTGTATTTTTGTCTTTTTGAATACTGGTGTTACAGCGGGACACAGAGGAGAAACAAGGAGCTTTGAAGGAACAGCTGAAGGCCTGGCAGAGACTTCGACATGACCTAGAGAGGGCCAGGCTCTTGGTGGAACTCATTCGGAAAAGAGAGAAACTCAAAAGGGAGACAGTAAGATGCATATCAACAATTAAACTAATATTACATTATACTGTTAGATCTGTAAAATGATTTGCAGTTGC